CCTCCTCCAGAGTTAGTGCCACCTTATGTTGTGATTTTAGGGTGGAGGCATGTCCTCCTGTACCTTTTCCTTCCCCACTGCCCCCTCTACTGATAGACCCAGATTGGAGTTTCTTCCTTCTGTAATTTAAGACAGTCAAAGATACATTTGGCTTTCAAAGAGAGGAAGAGGGAAGAAGCAAAGATCACAACACAATGCGAGTGACAAGTCTAGAAATTGTGAGAAGCTACCTTTATTTGTGTCTGTAGTCTCTTATTGTCATTTTCTAAGCTGAACTGCACCCTGAACTAAAAAACTTCCTCCCTTCCTTCGTTGTTTCCTTCTTTCCTCCATCCCACCCACATATATGTAGTATGTGCTTCATTTCTGAATTGCTTATTATGTCAAGAGCTGTGCGAGTTGCCAGGTTTGCAAAGGTAGATGGTATACTCCCTCCTCGCCCTTCAAGGGCTTGGAGATGCGAGAGCGGACGAGTCAATGAAGTAAAGTGCACTCTGGAAGAGGTTGGCACCAATTGCTGTCCTTGAGTTTTCTTCCTGTGAAGGCAAGGGGAGGTTTAAAAGAGGAATTACCGGGGGCCAGCCGGGTGGCTCAGTTAGTTAAGAGTTGGCTTAAGAGCGTGAACTCTGAGCAACAGGACCACCGGTTCGATTCCCACATGGGCCAGTGACGCTGCGCCTGAACTGAGCTGAGCTGTTGCTGAGCTGCCAACAGGTGGCAGGATGGCTCAGCTGTTGTAACAACAAGATTGCCTTTTTGATGGTGGGCTATGTCCACCTGCAACTAAGATTGAACACAGCACCTTGAGCTTCTCAACGAGCTGCCGTCGAGAAGCCAGATGGCGACTGGCGCCCTCCACAATGAAGATCGAAGAATAACAACTTGGCTGGTCCCCTTCTGCAATTCCCCAACACTGTTCCCCTCCCCAATTCCCTAATAAAAAGTCTTTAAATAAATAAATGAGGAATTGCCTGTCTCTTGGGATAGAGAGGGGAAAAGACAGTAGGAAATTGCAGAGCAATAGAAAAGGTGGGGTCTAGATAGGATTTTCATAAAGCTGATTGAGGGGGAAATAATAATCTAAGTAGAACAGCCAATGTAATGTATGCTTGGTTGGTTATGCTAATTTCTAGCTGTAGAATCTCAGCCAAGTCACTTTACTTCCCTGTGGATC